GTGCCGTGAGTATTTAAGACATGCTGCTGCTGCACAAATAGCATATAAAATAACCCCGTAGCAGATCTATACAGGTGGAGCTGGGGAAGGTGGAGGGTTTCAGAGAAACTCTGAAAGTGCGTTGCAGGAATCTCTAGTGAATGCTAGCCAGCCATATAAATGCAAGGCAGTAAGCTCATTGGCTGCATATGCAGCATGAACCAATCAGCTTGTGCCAAGTCGTTTAACTCTCTGAATATCATGTTACATTAACAAAACATCAGCCTGCGCCATCTAGAGTTTCAAGACTAAACTATATATTTAATAGTGAATATATGTTCCCTAATCTAAAGTTTTACCATGTATTCTTTAAAGGGGTCCTATTATGCTTTTTCACTTTTTCAACTTTAGTTAGTCTGTAATGTTGCTGTTTGAGCATATACAAATGACTGGAGGTCACCAGGTAATACTAATCCCGTGCGAATAGGGCTTTAGAGTGGTTACAATCATCCGGGTTTAAATGGCGCTCAAATTGATTTGATGCAATATTTACTCTGAAGCTCGCAGGCGGCTATGGTAAGGGACCTGAAATTTCCCGACCAAGGCGCCGAGTGGTGCCAATCACAACACACACTGGCCCAGCTAACCAATCACAGCACATTTCGTATTTCAGAAGGCGGGCCTTCATTTGATACAGGAACTATTCGAGCCGTTCATGCCAGACTGGGGAGAGAGGTGTTGTAATAATGTAAAATATGTGAAAAATAATGTGTTTTTCGAACAACCTAGTATGAGACCCTGTTCTAGTACACCCCCAAAACAAAATCAAGACTTTGTAAAAGAGCATAATAGGACCCCTTTAATGTGTTAAGATTGCATACTATTTGTCTAATGTCTAATGCAAGGTTTGGTACAGGGCGAGGATGACATTGTTAACCATGCTGATCACTGTTTCCCATACATTATAAAAACATGGTAGGTGTGGGTGTTCATTGTTAGCATGTATGTTGTGTGTTTTGAGTGGAATGTAGAATATCAGCTCACTTAATCGGGGCACATTCTCTGAGGAGGCAAGGAAGGGAGTGCCTCCTCAAAAACATGGAAACGTGTTGCATAAAATATCCAATCTTCATACTTCAGTAAAAGTACAAATACCTTTATGGAAATTGACTCAAATAAAAGTTAAAGCTGCTCATAAGAAAAATACTTAAGTAAAAGTATTTAAGTAACTGATATTAAAACTACTTAAGTATCAAAAGTACAGGTAAATTTGATAAATAATGGCACAGCTGATTGTATCGATGACAACCTAACTGAGAGTCTGGATATATAGTGTATGATATATAGATACATGTACACACACATGTTGGGAACAGCATGAGTAAATAATAACAATTTGTGGGTGAACTGTCCCTTTAATTCAAGAACCGCTCTCAACTATTCAGTGAGAGTGTCTGTTAGATTAAATTTTTGGTGACTATCTGTAGCCTTTATGCTATCAATCATTAATTGGAAACAGGTGAACCAACCCCTGTGGTGTGTAGCAGCAGCAAAGCAGAATTCTGGGAGAATGAACAAGCAGGCACAGATCCAGTGTACTACCATAACATTCTGAACTTCATTAAGTAAGATGGGTCATATTTATACCAAAGATTCTTAAAATAGCATACACAATGTCCTGGATATCCAATCAAAGAACTCAGATATGTAAGATGTGCATATGTGTGTGTGTGTGTGTGTGTGTGTGCGTGTGTGTGTGTGTGTGTGTGTGTGTGTTCTGATGTGCTTGCGCTTGGTTACCAATGTGGCCAAGGTCTAGTTTTGGTTTTGTCTAGGTGTGTCTATGATGTGCGCATAACAAAAGGATATTACAGAAGGGCAGTGAAAAGTGAAGCCTTAGAAATATTAACAGTGTTCTACTACAAATACATTTTGATCCACAATACAACAAAACATTACATATACAGCAAACTATGCAGAGACCAAAAATCAGAAAGATTGGGGGTGCAGGGCTCTTTTCACTCTGGTCTTTATGCAACCACCCTAAACCATAGCAACAACACAGCAATGCATGTAAACCCACTCAGAACACCTTAACAACTGCATAACCATGCCCTGGCAACCACTTCCATTTCCTTCAGAAAATCTAAAAATTTTGTTTCACTGTGATACTGTTAATAATGTGAATTTTATTCTGTGTTTGTACTCAAATTTGTACTTTTGTTGTTTTATAAATGTTAGTATTTGTGTTTATCATCAAATAGCATGTGTTATATTAAGTTGTAATTATGTATTTTTATACATTCTTAGTGCATAGTAGGGATGGACGATACCAAAATTATTTTCAGTCGATGCGATACTGTTTTTTTTTTTTTTTTTACAATTTTAACAATATCGATACTAGGGCTGGATCGATACCACTTTTTTAGAACCGATCCCAATCCGATACCAGAAATTCTGAGTATCTGCCGATGCCGATACCGATCCGATACCAGCAGTTTTTTTTTTTAATCAGTGTACAATTACTATACCTCAATGTGTTGACCTGATCATCACTCTTTTGTGTGGTAAACACAATCTACCACATATAGACAACTTCATTGTAAAGAAAAACAACAAATTAATAAATATATAATCATAATATGATAAAAAAAATACACCTATAAACTAGGTTAGTGGATAATTCAGTAGCAAAAGTTACTCTAGAAAAATGCACAATAATTTTATAAAATCTAAATATTTAGTGGAAAAAACATTATTTAGTGAAAAAAGTCCTTTTATGCAAAACCACTGATCTTTATCTACAGATCAAGTGTATAATAATAGGAACAGTGAATCATCTTGGAGAGAGTTTTATCATCTTGACTGTCGTCCATTCGTCATTTTAGCATTCAGAAGGGTGCTCGCGAGCGCCCCCTTTGTGGCCATTATGCACCCTCGAGCCGCACTTCTGCCGAGCCCGCACTGGTGGCATGATCGAGGGCACATAACGGCCGCAAAAGGGGCGCTCGCAAGCACCCTTTTGAACAATAAAATGACGAAGGGGACACCCTACGTTCTCGTGGACTTAACGGACACGCGCACGCGGCGGCCATTGTAAATCCGCAAGACCGAAACTGCACATGAAGTGTTCCATTTGGAACAGGGCCAATAAGTTCTAATGAGTCCGGGCAAAGGATTATGGGAAATGAAGTCCAAGACTGACTGACAGAGGTATGGGATGGAGTGCCCTCTGGTGGTTATCAAGGGCACTCCAGCTGGTGATCGTGACAGAAATACTGTGATTAAACAATAATAAATTTATTATAAAATCAGGATATCTTCAGAATTTTTTAAATCCTATGGTAATATTACACCATAAAATTACTGTAAAAAATATTTACAGTTCAGATACAAGTTCAGATACAGATCCAAAAAAAATTTGAATTGAATTGAATTTGGAATGGTATTGCACCAAAAAAAAAAAAAAAAAGAATAAAGAATATGAAAAAAAAAGAATAAAGAATGCCCCTATAGCGAATAAATCTATATTTATATCTGCTCATGTTTGGGCCGTTTTGTGTTGCGCAATATAACCAATCACACACGAGTCTGTTGAGCTTGAGTGCAATGGCCAGTCAGAGGCGTCCAGATTAGTCAATGCTGAAATGCTGGAGTTTTGTCAAGTGGGCGCATTCGCTGACTGAATTCTGCTCTCTCGCGAATTCATCTGCGAAATCAGCAGTCGGTATCGGAATCAGCCCATTAAAAAAAGAAAAAATAGGCAATATCAGAATTGATGAGTGCGAGAGCCATGGAGATCACAAGATGCATCTGGATGTGGTTGTAGGCTATTTTCTCCTGGAAAATGTGGTGGTGATGGAAAAAAGTTAATTTTCTTTTAAAAATTTTCCACTATGCAGTTCTGATCTGAGTAGCCTATTTGTACTATTTAACAGCTGGCACGAAAATATATATATATAAAAGAAGACTTTTGAGTTTAAATTTTATTCTGATTCAATTTCTTTGCCTATAATTGCACAAATAATGTTTTCAGACCGTTCTCTTGAACATTTCCTCAGTCTTGAGTCAGTTGAGTCTTGTGTCAGTGTTGTTGTTTCAGGCTGGTTGGGCTGCTCAAACAAGTAGTTCAATGTTCTCACAGTTGAAACCAGTAAACCAACCAGTAAATTACAGCTTTCTCCTTACAGTAAATTGGATATGAGAAAGTAATTTAATGTACAATGATTGAATGAATGTACAATATTTATAGTCCTTATACAGTTACAAGTGTCTATATATACAGTATATAGAGATCAAAATTAGAGAACAAATATAAATACTTGATTTTTTTCTGAAATATTGTTCATCTTTATCGCTCAAAATTTGAAGGAATATTAGCTGTGGGTATACCACGGTTCTTCTAACATGTTTTACAAAATAATCAAGGCATTTAAAAAAAAACTTTATTTTGTGGAAAACACAGTGATCAAAATTAGAGAACTGCAACCACTGTAGCATGAAAGAAGATTACAACTAACATTTGGGAGAGTTAAAGCTGTCAAAAATACAGGAAGTGTAGAGGCCCTTGTTTTGAATGATTTCATCACATCTGCGGCCACAAGACATCACTAGTTTCTCACACTGCGCTGGTGTGATCTTGGTCCACCATTCTTCCTGTCTCTTCCATATTTTGGAACTGTAGTGGGTTTCTTAGCCATAACTTTGCTGCCAAGGATATTCCAGAGATTTTCAGTCGGGTTTAGATCAGGACTCTCAAGGAACTTCTTTATCCATTTTGCAGTGTGACAGGGACATTGTTTTGCATGAAAATTTCAGGCTGGAGATGCTTGCAGAGAAGGTACCGCATGTTGCTGAAGGAGGTTCTGATAAACATTTGCGCTGTATAAGAGGCCCAACTCCTGCTGCAGAAAACATCCCCCAAACCATGACACTTCCCCTGCCACCTTTCACTGACTTCTTTATGCACTTGGGGTTCAATCTTTCCCCAGTTTGATGCCGAACATAATGTTTCCTATCGGACCCAAATAAATTAAACTTGCTCTCATATCACTAAAGTGAACTTTGGATCAGTTCTCCTCTCTCCACACAACATGCTCCTCAGCAAACGTGAGCCTAGCCTTTTGATGCTTTCTGCTAATGAGAGGCTTCATCACTGCAGAGTGCGCTTTCAGTCCGATTTCTCTTAATCTGTGTGCCGAGACAGATCCATAACCTGTTCATCGATGAACTGGCAAGCAATTCCAGCTGCAGTGTTGAACCGATTCCCCAATGAGAGTCTCCACATTATCCTGTCTTCTTGTGCATTTGTCTTACGTGGACAACCAGCCGTTTTGGGGGACTTGAATGAATTAGTGTCATTGCTGCAATATTCTAGAAATCACAGATTTGGAATGACCAGCTTCTCTTGAAGTGGCTGAAAGGGTCATCCCTTTGGCCTTCATCTGGACAACCTCCTGTTGCAGGGTTTCAGTCACCTTAGAGCAGCCCACCATCTTGCAATCTCAGTGAAAACTGGAGGAATGCTGCCAGTTAAATAGGTTAAGCAGAACATGACAAGTTGCATCAAACTCTGGAGGCAGGACAAAGTTACGGCTGTCAATAATTCCCACACTGAAAAAAATAATTCATTGGATTTACTCAATTGAATAGTGGACATTGGTTGCACACAAATTGTTTGCTTTGGTAGCCACTTACACAATTGTGTTCCATCAACACAGATTATTCACGTTTAAACAAATGTTCGTGCACGCTTTCTGCATATAATGTGCAGTCTACACAATGCTATCACGTTTTACTTAAGAACATAAAACCCTTTAGTAAAATATACTAAATATAATTTCATAAATCTAACAGGTGACCAGTCTCCCTTTTTTCAGTGCAGTCCACCAATAAAAATAGAAACCATAAAAAAATTACTAAGCCTTTTCAACATTTACAAATAGTTACAGTTACAGTGTTGTATATACAGTTATTAATAATCTTATTGTTTGTAATTTAATTCATACATTTTTCATGGTTAAGTATTTTGAGGGTTAATCTGTTATTCTTTTCTTGATCAAATGGTTTTAAGATGCTTATATGTTTTGCTTTTCATAATATTTCAGAGATGGAAGTTTAGTTTAGTTTTGTTTTTGTGATCACTGATGGATTCCCATGTGGTTGCCTCTCTCTCTGATACTGCAAGGGAGAAAATAAATCAGCTCTCGCTGCAACATGTAACACCATACAAAAAGAAATACTGAAATTCTGTAGCACACTTGCTCTCCATCTGTCTGTTTAGAAATTCTTATATCCTGATATGAGACTTTTCAACATATTGTAATTACAACCCTTTCCCAGAAGCTGTGAACTGTCAGGTAAGCTCCATGACACACTTCTGCTGGCACAGGTAAAAAGTGGTGCTAATCAGTCTGTATCCTATCAGTAACAGGTGGATATCTTTGGCCTTACAAAGGGCTGGTTCAGGCAGTCAGGATAGGCCCCATGACCCCCTTGGTAAAACAACGGGCTCATTCTTTGCTCCACTGCTGACCTCATTGTCTCTTTGTGGAGCGAAAATCCAGAGTTGCATTCTGCTCAGTGGTCAGACAGCTGCTGGTGTGCAGCATCTCTGCTGTAATGGAGGTGAGTGGATGAGAGAGCAGTCCGAGCAGATCCCACCAGGAAACACCTGGATCCAAACAACCAAAACATGGTGAGTTACTCCCAGCATGTTCAAATACAGAAACATATCTAATAATATGCTTTTTTCAGCAGTATGTGCTATATTTTGCAAGACTGCGATAATGTCTGTGTTATATTTTCAGTCTATATGAGTATTTTCTGCTAGAATGATTCTATTTGCTGGTGAGCCTTCCTAAAATGTGTTTTCAAACAAGAACCGGTTTGTAACCTGTAGAAATAAGTATGTTAAAAAATATATATTCTATTGTTTACGTGATAATTTCAGATCTTTAGTGTCAATTAATCAATAAATTTAATTTAGTTTATTATTTGATTGTTTATCAAGGAAAAATATTGTATACATATTTAATAAATAAATAAAGGAAGTGGCATTTCTAAAGCCAGCTTATCACATTGATTATCATCACATTGCTATTGTTCTAAGTTATTTTTTATATATACAGTGTTACCTGAAATAGCAATAACTTTATAATACTACTGCATAGAAGATCACTAGAGTAGCAAAAGAGTAGTTACAACAAAACACATTTACCGGTGTTGTGCTCTGAGTGCTCCTTGATAGCTCATAATTAAAACGGTGTGCTATTTTCTGAAATAGTGTATGTAATAGGCATATTCAAATATAAACCTATTTAAACAAAAAAAATCTTTCACATGACCTACAACAGCCTACGATTTGTCACAAATATATATCCATAATTAAAAAAACAAATGGAGACAAAAGATGTATTGCATTTTTTTTATTTGCCGTACAAATTTTGACAAAGTCAATATGTTCATTATATTTAAACTCAGCACAAGTAGGAACCTTATTGTGAACGCAAAGGTCAATATTAGTTAATTTACTGACATCAGTACATTAAACCAGATCTCTTTTATCATGGCTTATTGTATGAATGAAAGAAAGAAAGACACTTTATTGTCCCCATAGGGACTCAAGGTGCGTTTACATTGACATTTATAATAATAATAATAATACAGTAAGTACAAGAAATACAACAACAACGACACACACACACAAACATGTTAAATTATGGTTTAACATTTTAATTGAGGTAGGTATAAAATATTTTAAAACAATTGAGCCTTCACACTGGTACTCTGTAATGTCTTCCAGAGGGCAACAATTCATACTCTGTATGCAATATGTGCAGTGGGTCAGCTAAAACTTTATATGCTTCCCTCACAACCGATTGTTCATATAACAACTCTAGGTGATATTCTCTTGTGATATTCTCTTTTCCCTATCTTCCATATTGCAATTTTTACCGAATGCGCAAGCTTAGAACTATAAGGTTACCAAACCATGCCGTGATGGAGTGCAATCTCCTACTGAGCTGGGGTCAAAATAATATCTTCAGTCTTTTTTGTATTTAAACTAATTGGTTTAGATCACACCATTCTACAAACCTTGATACCTCTGAAAAATAGACTGACGGATCAATATGTTCAAACAGAAGGCTCAATACAGCAGTGTTGTCTGAGAATTTCACTATGAAGTTATTAGGGTTATCACCACTTGAGCACTCATTAGTATACAATGTGAACAGAATAGGACACATTATTTTGATATGCAATATGACACTGAGATTGATCATATCAGTGGTTCTATTACAGAGTCTTAGCAGAGATGCTGTGGCAGTGATTGAGAATCCTGTGGTCAGACAGTCTTTCCATCCAGAGCATCTGCAGGTGGACAGGATTGAGACGGGCCAGAATAATCCCACCTGGATCAGAGAGCTACAGTTTCTCCATCCAGGCAAGTCATTTACTAACACACAGCTAAGCAGACATCTGTTCCTTTAAAAGCATTTGCAAAGATCAATAAAAAAGTTTTTTTTTTTACATTTTGATTCTATTTCATACAGTTTTATATTATATAACATTATATTATATTAGATATAGATTATTTCAGTATCATTTTTAGTAATTATTTATTCTTTCTAAGTAATACTCTTTCAATCATCATCATCAATCCCACTTCATATTAGGTGTCTTTAACGACTATGTGCATATGGGGAGATTATTTTTCTTTCCCCCTTTTTTTTTTTTTTTTGATATTTCTTGAACAACTATTATTATTTAATAAAGTGTCTGGCAAAGTGTCGGCCCATAAACTGGTGAGAGTGTTTGCAGCTCTGTGTGTACTCTGTCTGCTGGGAGGTGTTGTCATTGGAGTTTGGTTCATAGGTAAGAAGTTAAATAATTCAAAAGCTTTGGTGAAATTCGTGCACTTATAATGTATAGACACAGTAGCACTCAAATGAAATATTTCTGCATTTAACGTCTTTAATGTTTTTCCAGTGAAAATTCTCTTAAGGCCAAACTCAGCTCAGAGCCCTGTGAGTTTAGGAGACACCAAAGACACATCCTTCTGCAATGTAACCGAGGACACCTCTGTGAAGGACACCAGGAAAGGTAATAAAGGTCCCTTTATTTGCACATTTTGCAAAAACAACAGTGACCCAGCAGGTAAACAGCACAGTGGACATTCATCCAAACTCACTGGCACTATAAACAAAGTGACAAACAATGACCAGCGAAAGCTGTAACAAACACATTAACAAGAGAAGCAAACTAAAGGGAGAGGAAGTAAAAATTAAGTGGACTATGCAGCTGGCATTGTAACTAACTAAAACCAAGTAACTCTATAACATTAGTACTATCTTGAGCACATTTTTTGAGTAGTGTGAAAATAGTTCAATTGTTTTCAACGTAGTGGCCCAATAGCGTAACTTTTAAAGCAGCTTTTCGAATACATACTGCTGTTTTTAATGTCTGAGCAAATGGGATAATCAAACACACACACCTAAACAGTAATTTCTCTCATATTAAGCAATGGAAAGTCTTATTCATTCTAGTGAATTGTTAATCTTTAATTGTCCTCCCCTTCATATAAAAGCCTTGAAAAGTCTGATTAATCCTAGTGAATTGGTTTATCTTAAATGGTTACTTGTGTGGCGAGCATTGGAAAGTCTGATTCAGTGTAGTGAATCTGTTCATTTGGATGGTTCATGTAAATGAACAGATTAAACCTGCAATTTCAACACATCAACAAATACTTTGATTTCTTAATATATCCTCTAAACAAATTCAGTTTAAATATCATATCCCCTAACAGCAGCCCCATTCACTGTGCTACAGTATGTTGTTTTAGGAGGGATTTTGACTGAATGGGGCTCAGTGTTTTACAGGATCAGTGCTGAGAACTCTCTTCTGGAGATCCAGCTGGAGAAGCTACAGATGTGGCTGCCCGTATGTTACGAGAGGTGGAACTCCTCTCTGGGAACGCTTGTATGTCGACAACTGGGCTATCTGAGGTGAGCATGCTGACAGCTGGATCACACACACACACACTTGCTGCTCTCAGCACCTTTCACTTGACTACCAGCTGTGGCTGTTTTCTGTAGGTCAACCATTCATAGAGTGACAGCAGTATTGAAATGTATTTTAAAGTCATGTTCCCTTCTAATTCAAAACATGACGTTTGCAGCATACAGACATTTCAAGGGATATTAAAGGGATAGTTCACTCACAAATAAAAATGCTGTCATCATTTACTCTCCTTCATGTAACTTCAAACTTGCATGGCTTCTACTGTTGAGATTTTTTGCAGAATCATGGAGCTGTTTCCAAAATCAGCCTTTTCCCTAAAATGAAAGTGAAAAGTGCTGTCAAGCTCCAAAAAGGATGAAAAAGCACAATGAAAGTGTCATAAAGTAGTGCGTGATCTGACGGCTACAGTGAACAGTGAGAAATTCTGTTTGGAATGAAATGAGAAAAAGTTAATTAACTGAATGAGTTGTTAAAATTGTAATTTTTAGATGAACTAAAGCAAGTGTTGTCAAATAATCTCTCCTTTCAGATTGTCAAAGCACAAAGGGGTGAATCTGACTGATATTGGGCCGAACTATACAGACGGATTTGTCCAAATCACCTCAGAACACCAAAGCAATTTGGAGAGTTTATGGCGTTTCAGGTAGTCGAGAAAAATACAAATTCTGAATTTCCAGAACAACAACTGTCACACTTTTTCTTTTTCTTTTTTTTTTTGCAGGGTAAGCTGTAGTACAGGAAAGGTGATAGCACTGAAATGTTTTGGTGCGTCTTAATATATTAGTCTGAAATAATACATACTATCCATATACACTGTCTATCTGTGGCTGAGTGTGATTATTTGCTTCATTGTAGAGTGCGGTACCAGAGCAAAGTTACCTAGGATTGTTGGAGGAGTGGAAGCCACTCTTGGCAGATGGCCCTGGCAAGTGAGTCTCTACTACAGTAACCGCCACATCTGTGGAGGATCTGTCATCACCAACCAATGGATAGTTACAGCTGCTCACTGTGTCCACAAGTAAGATTCTTCATTTACAATAACTATGACTTTGGGTGAATCTCACCAGACTTGTCAGAAACCCAAAGAAAAACAAAATAAGAGACGGGTTATAATATTGGGGTTAATTATGGTTTAAAGGAATAGTTTACCCAAACAATGAAAATTTGCTGAAAATATACTCACCCATCCAAGATGTAGAAGATGTTTGGGGAAATTTAGCGTTATATCACTTGCTCACCATGGATCCTCTGCAGTGAATGGGTGCCGTCAGAATGCGAGTCCAAACAGCTGATAAAAACATCACAATAATCCACAAGTAATTCACATGACTCCAGTCCATCAATTAACGTCTGACATCAATTAAAGTGAAAATTTGCATGTTTATAAGAAACAAATCCATCATAAAGGCGTTTGAACTTTAAACTGTCACTTCCAGCCAAAATATGAGTCCATAATCCATAATGACACTTCGTCCAGTTAAAAAGTCCGTCCCCTGTTGTCCTCTCACATCATAACAAATTTGTTTAGTACTGCTTTGGACTGTTTTCACTTGTAAATGCTGCTTGATTTGTACATATTTTTCTCTCCACGTAATGATTTTTTCATTGGAGAAAGCAATATTATGAATAGAGGACTCGTATTTTAGTCTGAAGCAACAGTTTGAAATAATAATAATAATAAAAAAACATCTTGATGTTTTGAGTATTAAAAACATGCAGCTTTTCACTTCACAAGACATTAATTGATGGACTGGAGTCATGTGAATTACTGGATGATTGTGATGTTTTTTTTTTTATCAGCTGTTTGGACTCTCATTCTGACGGCACCCATTCACTGCAACTAAATTTCCCCAAAATCATTCCAAAGAAGAAACAAACTCATCTACATCTTGGATG